TCGGTCCCGCTTGTGCCAGAGGTTGAGAAAACGAAAGGGCGAAAGTTTACCAAGGCTATTCAAAACTTACGAAGAACTGATTAAAGGAACGCTAAACTTGCCTTTTATATGCGCGTGGTGACGCTGAAAGGTCCGATTACAAAACCAATACAAATACAGAAAAACAGATAAGCATTGTAACTATAAGGCTATCTAAGATCATTCTGAAATTAGTGAACTAATCAATAATCAATCAAGAAATGAGCCTTCTGGCTAATGTCCTTAACAATTAATAATAATGATGCTAATAATAATAATAATAATAATAATAATAATAATACTAATAACAATAATAATAATAATAATGAACACGTAAATTGAAGCTCCTCCTTAGGGGCTTCTCAGCCACAACGTAGACTAACGAAGTGCTTAAAAATCCGCACTGGCCGGAGGCAGACCAGCGGGCTATTTACAGAGTGCAGCCGAGGAGTTGAACCAGTGGCAACTGGGAACAAATCCAGTGAGTGGCAGGGTGGATGACTTGAACCCGGGACACCGCATTACAAGTCTAGCACCCTAAGCACTCGGTCACGCCGCCTCCTAAAACATTTTCTCCGATTTTTGCTTCCAACGAAACACTCTTTCGCAAGGACTAATTATTTTTTCATTAACACTTATTAATACTTTAGATTGCTCGAGGTTACTTTAAATATTTGTGCACATCCCTTTTTTCTCATCTTTTTTTTTACACTGCGTATGAGCATTATTTATGTGAGATTTAACTGCAGAGTAGGCAAAAGATATTCATTTCCTTCAGATTCAGTTTCATCAGACAAATTCTGAAAGACTTTTTTTCTCCTCTAGATTGGCAAAAGAGCTTCTTGATTTTAACCAGAGGAATAATAATGAATCTCCTGTACAAGTGGAAGAAGAAACAATTACGATTGGCGATGATTACAGCATGCTGGCTGCATCATTGGATGATATCCTCGCAGATGATATCTCTGACGAGGGATTCGCAGAACTGGACTCTTCTAAGGTAACGAGTAAATCACATCATCAATTATAACATAACCAAAGTAAAGCGCGCGCTCTGATTGGTCAATTTAGCGTCCCCCATTTGCCCATGGGTGTACGCTGCTGACGTGAGCAAATGCAAAGACTATTTTTCCGCGCGCGCTTGTTTTTTTCTGGTCACGTAAGATTTGTTAAATAAAAGGGAACTCTTTAGCTACAATGTATCAATGTTATGTTATAAAACAAATGCTAAACACCACAGCGTACACTATTGAGTTATGGATGCACTTGGGAGGTTTGCTAAGCACTCAAGAAGCTAGAGTCGCTCTCGGCTATCGCCTCGAGCGACTCTTACGCTTCTTTCGTGCTTAGCAACCTCCCGCGTGCATCCATAACTCAATAGTGTACGCTGTGGTGTTTACCATTTGTTAATTATCCGTTGAGATCTATCCTTTTAGACAATTCAAAACAGTCATTTCTTTTTCTGTTATCCAGAGTCTAAGGGTACAGCATTTATTTCGATTTTCAACCATGGGCTTGCTGCCGATTGCATTGATACTAATGTAAAAAGTGCTCGTCTAACTCACGATCCCTTCATTCAGATACTTCCAAGTCATGTCCGTCAAGTCATATAATTATAAAATGTTTATGGGCGTCTTTTAAAATAAAAAGAGAGGCGTTTAAGAGTTTGATTTGACCAAGGATATTTCGGTTTTTTTTTAACAATCCTGGTAGGCGTTCAAGCGAGAATGCTTGTTTTAATTAATTCTCTGTGAAACAATGTTTTCCATTTTAATTGTTCCCAAAGGCGCCCCATCAAAATGCATTTTAATAGGCAGATAGTTCTTTTTTTATTATTGGCGTTATGCATGGGCTAACGATATAAAGATCCTAGACTGTAATGCGGATTTTGACATGAATGTTTTTGCCTGTGCAGTCAGTCCTAGAGATGAAAATGAGCGATTTTGATGGACACGTTCAGTCGATGAACCGATGGATGAATGACACCGAGAAGTTAGTGAATTCGCTTCATGTGGGAATGGAACCCAGTGAAGTTTCAAAGAGGATCCAGGAAATCAAGGTGGGTTTAAAGACTTAGAAAAGCACTCCTTTCAGAAAATGGCTGCATTAAAAGGTTTCAAGAAGACAACTACCCTTCCGAACACATTTGCTAGGGCAAGCGCTGCTTCCTCTTCCTTTCTTCATTTTGGTCTTGAAAATACCAAGCACAAACCAATCTGGTGATCAAGGGACAGGTGCTTTAGAACACTACAAAGGGTATTTCAAAGGGGCGTCTTACTATTTATGTATCTTGACAGTCTCGTTTTCTAAGAATTTAGATCGGGTAAATTCTTGTCTCTTTCTTTATTTTTTGTTTGTTTTATTTGTTTCATACTTTTTTGTTCCTGTTGTTTTCCAGATACGCTGTACAGACATAGACAAAAAGGAGGCTAAGGTGAAATACATAAATAAACTTGGCCAAGAAATAACTGCTGAGTCCCTTGACATGGCCACCACTGAAAGTGTTGAGGAGAAGGTTGTAACGCTGAACAAAAAATGGCGTGACACAAAGGAAATGTTAAGTGACTACTCTGACATGGAAGAAGATGAAGCCTCAGCATTTGGAAATTGCTGTTGTTTTCAAATGGTCCAGAAAGCGTTTCACGCGTGTTTCTATAGCTGAATGGAGTCCGTCAGAAAACATATCTCCTTATAGAAGACGAATTATTCCACCGGTTGCGTAATTATCATTACGCCGCTTCAGCCTCGCTTCACAGTTGTAACCAAACTGGATTATATGGACACAGTTGTAACCAAACTGGATTAGATTATAATAATGCCTATAGATTTAGGTGCAATATGAATGATAAAGTATTATTATAAACTTGCATTTATATATCTGAAGGAACAGGATGTCAGTTTGAGTAAATAGAAGAAGACAGATGTACAATTTTAATAGAAAAATGTTGTTAGTTTTAGTAAGAGTTGGGACATAAGAAAAGGTGAGTCCACAGGAGGAATCGAAATCAAGACCTTCGGATTCCGGGTTCTTATGCCCAATCTCTGAAAAGAGAACGATATTGTGAGTTAGCCCATTAATAATTTCTTATTTGACGCACGTCCTGCGTCCTGCAAAATCAGAGATGTCGAAAGCATCATGCGAGTGAACAGAAGAACGAAAAACGATAAATTGGACTGCGTTAGGTGGTGGTCTTTATTATGTCGGTTTCTTGGTCCTCGTTGATTCACGACTCAGCTCACCTTGCTTCATGGGTTCTGTTTCCCACAGTCGCATATTTTCTTTCTTTTAAATATTTTTTGCTTTAATGATTCAGAATTGAGGCCACACTAGAACAAAAGCAAGCACCTCTTATCCATAGACTTTATTTGACCTCCCTGAAGGCATCGTCTAATCAATGTATTCTCACCTACAAATAAAGTTTCGAAATATGTTTTCCAGCTACAAAACAAAGAACGAGATACCCGCAGATTTATTTGCGGCTCCAGAGGGAGGGCGTCTAAGGGTCTCGCACTTGATAAGCCAGACTTTAGGAGGAGAAAACTCAGGCATGACAACACAGCTCTAGCTCTTTCCTTCGATAATAGGACTCAACATCGAAGACATCTCCTTTAACTACTTCAAGGTTTCGATGTCTGTTAAATTAAAACAGAACATGACAGTTAGAGCAATGGGGATGATTTAGATCTGTTATGTATTACTTGGGAGTCCAAAAAATAGCTGATTTTTTTCCTCTTCTCGTTGTGTCTTGCACGAACACTGAATGTTAGTAAAAACAGTTATTACGCGGTGATAATAAATTTTGAAGGGCCTTTCAGTAGTCGACAAAAACCGTGAAATGATTGTTTACTTTCCCAAGAAAATGGGTGAGTTTATGTAAATTGCCTCCTTTTTTTGATTGCCAGTTTTGCTGCGTTGTCAGATGTTTTCTGGATTCACTGCTACTCATTTGACAATCTCGGATAAAAATACGCATTTTAAAGCAGCGCGCCACTCACTTTCCGTTGAAATAATATAGACATGACTGACACGTAATTTTACCGATAAACTTGCATGTACTCTATGCACTGAAACATTTGCATTGCGCGTTCATCCGAGAAGATGTCTTCAATTGTACTGTTAATTATCTTTCATTTTATTTTTTTTGATTTTGCTTGAGGGTCTAGAAAGAAACTGGAAGAATCACTTACGTTCACAAAAACAAGATTAAAGACGACAAAAATTAGCATAATATGATAAGCAAGTCAAAATCTTTTACTTAACAGAGAACCTTTCCGAGCCTCTCACTACAGCAGTGACAGCATGGCCTTTTGCCAGAGCCTGCTGAACAACCTCAAGTACCTTTGGTCCTGATGCACCAAATGCTACCAGCTTAGGAAACAATAACTCGCCATGGATCGACTTGAGCAGTGTCTCAATATGTATCGTAGCCAGTGGTTGGTGTTTCGTGACTTGATTGCTGAAGAGTGACTTCAAAACTGTGTCGGCTGCTTGATGCAAACATATCTTCATGTAAATTTCTGAGCTATGGCTACTGCAGCAGGGTTACTCTTTCCTAAGCTGGTAGTCTTCGGTGCTACAGGACCAACAGGCCTCGCAGTCGTTCAGCAAGCTCTGGAAAAAGGCCATACTGTTACCGCTGTAGCGAGAAACCCTGAATCTTTTCCCATAAAGTAAGTGATTTTCATAGCTTACCGTTGTTGATGTCTGTTGTTCTTTAATTGCTCTGTACGAACCGAAACAACTTTTGCTTGTCGAATTCAATACTTACCTGCTTCAATTTTATTTTTATGGCGAGAAAAAAAATTATTCCTTTCCACGGCAATGTTTCAAGACATCACTGCAAGCAAACTAAGCGCAAATCTAACTTCTAAGATCTACGTCTCGAATTTGCATATATGTCGTAAATTGGCGAGTGGACCTAATTCATTTCAGCCCATTACGATTCCTGTTAATCATAGGGAGTGTATCTGAAAGTTTCCGTAACATTTTATTCTTATAGGAAATCAGTTCTTAAATAGTAGTAAATCAAGTGAAGATTATTCAACGCAACCGTAAAGGCGATCGAAGATGCCACGCTACCTTACATGTCAACCTTATTTGCATATATTCGCTCGTCACGTGCATCACTCTTAACTGTGTTTAAGTTCATTACCATCGGTTTTTGTCAAACATGAATAGAGGCCAGAAGAAAAGCCCAGATAATTTGTAATCATCATCCTTGAGAGCGAGATTTTGTAAGTTGATCAAAGTACACCTGATACAAGCTGATATAAGTTACTTTTTAAAGGACTGGTGTGGGTCACGACTTCTACAGGTAAAACCCTGATGAGTCAGTCACGCTTATATTACTATTTAATTAAATTTGAGTTAAATTTCATTCCTTGAGGTTTGAAACGCTTAGGGCGTTACCAAACGGAGTCAAGGGGAGAATAATTGAAGAACCAAATTACCTCCCATCTAAAAAGTTTGTAATATTTTTAACCTCAGACAAGAAAACCTGGAAGTAGTTAAAGGAGATATCTTTGATGTAGAGTCTCTGGTTCCCATCATTGAGGGAAAAAATGCAGTGCTGTCATGTCTGGGTTTTCATAAAGGAACAATTTTCTCGCCGACAACGCTATACTCCAAATCAATAACTCCTATCACATCGGCAATGGAAAGGTAATATACTTGTTAACTTTACTTTTAATCAGTCTCTAGCTCTGTAACGTGGAACTTTCAACACACTTGCCTACAGAAAAGGATAGAGCTTAAACATCTTGAATAGGCCTTATAGGACAGGTTGTCTCATGATATTCAGTAAATCCGATCTCCTATTCTAATTTGCTACTATGCTTCGGCAAAGAACGTGGGACACTTTAAAATCATACTTCCACAGTTCCTTTCTCCACCCAGGAATAAACGAGTTATGAATACGGCAGGGTGGAGGGTGGGGTAACCTTGCAATGAAAAAGCATCCCATCCAGGGAGGGGGGAGGTAGTGATACTCCTAGTCGCTTCATGCTAATATAAGTTGGCGGGCTAAGCTCCGACTTGGTGGGCCGCTAGGGCCGAAAACAGTGTTTAAACACATTTGTTTCAATTGCACAGGACAGGTGTCGGTCGATTAGTTTGTATGACTGGTATTTACACTCAAAAAGATCCGTCAAATCCCAGGTTATGGGATTGGTTTGGACGGCCTCTGGCACGGGCCTTCATAAACGACATGGTACTGATGGAAAATATTGTAATGGAGTCCAAGATCTGTTACACTATTGTGCGACCTCCAATCCTGACAAAAGGTATATCATCACCAAATAATAATGTTCCTTTAAAATACTCTATTCCTTAGTATTCATAGATCGCAGATGTAGTGAAAACCACGAATCTAGTTGAGTAATAATTATTTTTGTAACTTGTCTGAATGAGGATCTCACATACTTTGATCCCAAAGGAATAGTTTATTGTTGTCACCAAGTATGCTCAAGATCTTGTCTTTGTTTGCAATTACGATTCGAAGAAGGTTTACTGGCTAAGCACTTACATGGTTTATTGTTAGGTATTTGAAAAAAAAAGTCAGTTTCACTCGTAAAGCTCAAGACAGGTTTGAATTCTTTGAACACACTGATACATGATAATAATTTACGAAACAGCTATTCATTTTTCGGGCGATCTTGAGTTCAGAGACACCCTCCTAAGTGCTTATGAACTAAGTATCAAAGAAAATGCTTAGGAATCAGATGCAGCCTTGAAAACCCATCTCTTCATGCCCTTCTACTCTATAACTTCAATTCCATGAATATTTTGAACGACCACGGCAAAAAAACAGTTCAACCTTTCATTAGGTTTTTCCAATACAACCCTGTTCCTCAGACCAACGTCAAACGGCCACCTCACTACAACGGTATCCGGCTAAGAAACTTTGTCCAAACGCTATGCAAATCAATTACTTTGAACACTTAAAGAAGTAAAACCTTCTTAATACGTTCACTTCTCCGTAATGGCTGGTTAGGGAAACCTCAGGATGTCATTGTTGATGGGGGATTACTAAATTACAAAGTTTCTTAAGTTTCAAAACGCAATACGTTTTTGTAAGCGTTTGTTTTTTTTGTCCCAGGCCCTTTGACCGAAACTAATTATGTGGTGGCCGAGGGACAGTCTGTACCAAGATCCGCCTGGAGAGTTTCTCGCGCTGATGTCGCTCACTTCATGCTGAAATCATTGCAGACCAATGAATGGGACAACAAGGGCGTCGCAATCGCTGGCAAAAAGTAGAGTTTTTCTTTAAGGTCAGCACACACGAGGGGACTAGTCACTGCGACTAGTCCCAGCGACCAGTTTCATGCGACTATTCCCTTCGTGTGAAATACACATTTCTGTAGTCGCAGGGACCAAAATTTGGTCCCTGCGACTGGTCGCACAAATTCAAACTGGTTTGAATTCGTGCGACCAGTCGCAGGGACTTGTCACATGAAACAAATGTTTGTCCCTTCGTGTGAACTGTTTGTGCGACCAGTCCCTGCGACTAAACGGTAAATAAGCCAATCACGGGTCAGTATGATGCGTGACTTCCGGTATTTGTAAACATTGCAGTTTCTATGAATTTTCCCTGAATTCTAGATTTCTACAACTGAAGAATAAAAAACTATTTCTAGTTTTGTAAACATATACAGATGTCTTGGAGCCGTTTTGATGGAATTTTTACCCTATTTGACTCTGTGTCTGTTAAAAATAATAATAATAAAAAAAAAAACGGAACACGTAAAAGCATGAATAATCCGACTGAATAAGTGTAGTTCGTTTGCGTTGATGTTTAATAGTGCTACAATGAAAAGTTACCAAATTTTAATTGTTTTCG